CAAGATGTGTAACGGCAAATTCAGTGAATTCATCAGCAAAATCAGATAGATCAGATGCAGAACAGCCAGGAGTAACATAAATGTTAGAGATGAAGACGTATTTAAACTTGGATAAGTGTTTCGGGCGGCATTTGACCGTTATACAATCAATAAAGTCATTAGAGTAAGAAAAACATACATTATTTGAAGTTGACCATTGAGAATGAATGAAAGTTGCAACACCTCCACCTCTTTTCTTTCTGGAGCATAGTCGATCTTGTCTAAACAATGTAAAACCATTTAGGGAAACCAGATTGTCATCATAGAGTTCATGGAGCCATGTTTCTTGTAATGCAACAATCGCCGTATTGTGATAAGTATCAGATGATAAGAGAGACTGGAGATGCATAATTTTGTTGGGAAGTGAACGGCAGTTTGAAGTGACAATAACAGGAATGGTTGTACGATATAAAGGTGTCTGTTTAAGTGCACGCTGCCAGCCAGCGTGATGTTTTCTCTTAGATTTATTAGATGCATGAAAGTCATATGGTTTAAAACGTTTAATGAATGAATTACTGTATTTTATGCGATTTGTGATCATATTTTATTAAAATTAGGAATGAAAACATGACTATTAGATGCAATATGTAGATGCAGGAAGAGGCAGCCCAGGTGTCAAACAGGCCGCCAAAAATAAATTATTTAAATTAATCCCAGCGTGTTAAGAAAATCAAAACAAGATTTTTCTGACTAATAAAAATCCGAATAAATCTGCTTACACGGCAAAACGTTCAGAAAAATCTTGTTTTGAGCTTTTTAACACGCTGGGATTAATTTAAATAATTTACAATGAATCAATCTGACTCGGCGCTCAAATTATTCCAGGAAGTTAGTAACACCTGCGGTCTAGAAACCTATAACTTTGCCTATATCTTGTTTCTATGATATGATATGAAATCAAAACAAGTGATTCAGCGAAGAGACTCTTTTCAACGAATTTATCATCAAGCTGTACAGTCGTATATATATGGTTTATCAGAAGTTATATCCGGTGAGGGAATTGAATCTTAGGTGTGAATGCACAAAATAATAATAATAATAATCATATGAAGTTCAATTAAAACTAAAATGTTTGTGATTATAATCGTAGTTAAATGTCAAGTGGCAAAGCAGATTAATGTCATATATAGAATAATTCATAGGAGGGGTAGAACTTGAAAAAGGATGTGCAATTATAGGATTAGTAGGCAAATCGAATAAAACAAAAACGTTACGTAATATTGTGTGAAATTTAATAGCATAGAATTTATCGTTGTAAAAAAGAATTGATTTAAAATGACAAGTGGAACAAGTGAAATAATACCGGGGACAGTTCAAAGTGAGAATAGTAATAATAACAATTGACTTAATAAGGAAGAGTATACAAATTGAATAGACAAAATGAAAAATGAAAAATTGGTAGAGCTAAAATATGATTGGGGATTATCATATTTTAGCATAGAGGGATTAAGACCATGAAAGTTGGAGGGGTTGAACGAACTTTTTCTGTACACAGAGATCTGGCTTTTCTGTTTCGATAGCCAAAGCTTCAGCAATACAGATGAGTCGGGTACGTAGGGATTTAGGTAAATTGCTCTTTGCCTTGTAGATGACTTTAAAGGCGGAGGCTATAGAGATAGGGTGATCATTTTCGACCAGATGTTCTATGATCGCGCTTCTTATTGCTCCACTTCCACCTTTTCGTAGCCATGCAGGATAATGTTCTTGCACCCTCTTGGACAAAACTCGAGTCGAACGACCGATATACCTAGCTCCACAAGAGCAAGTGAATTGATAAACGCACATAGAGTTGGTCAACATTGGGATCTTGTCCTTCAGGTTATTGAACAATAATGGTCGGCTAGTAAAGGCTATTCTCAGGGAGGCAGCAGGGAATGTTCTTTTCAGGGACTGTGATATCCTTCGTTTCATGATATCGGAAGCTAAGTCCCCTTTGAATTCTAAGCTCATGTAAAGTGTTTTCTTGGGAGCGGTTGATAAGTCACGTTTTGTAGGCTTTGAATGTATATTCTTATCTATAAAACGTGGTGGAAATCCATTTTCCATTAGGATTTTCCTCAAAGTGCATATCTCATCTTCCACAGTATCAGTGCTACAAATGCGCCGAATACGAGTGGCAAGCGACCGGACCAGGTTTCGTTTTCGACCAATAGGTACCCAGCTATAGAAATTTGTCAGTTGACCATTCCATAACAGCCTACGATAAATCGATCTCTTCAGAGTTCCATCAGTCCTTCTTGATAAGTTCACATCGAGGAAATGAATGCTAGACTCGTTCTCCATTTCGAGTGTGAATTTTATCGCAGGATGGCACTCATTAAATACATTTAATATATTATTCAGGTTACAATCAATATTACAAATAATAAAGGTGTCATCTACATACCTTTTATATATTTGAAAGCTTTGGATCATAGGCTTCAGGGAACCATTTTCTAGACTGGACATAAAAACGTCTGCAAGGAGAGGACCCAAGGGAGAACCCATCGCAATACCATCCTTCTGCCTGTAGATTGTTTCATTGAAAGTAAACTGTACATTCAATGTACATCTCAAAAGTAGTTCTTTAAGATCTGTAGTAGGTATCCCTATGTTAAATTTGTTGTCTTCAATATATTTGCATATAAAACATATGGTCTCTGTCAGTGGAACGTTCGTAAATAAGGATTCTACATCCAAAGACAACATTTGTTTATTTGACGCATTTATATCCTGTATACATTCAACAAATTGGAAGGTGTCCCGAAGGGAATGATTAGATAGTTGCCCCCTGACTGGTTCGAGGATTTCAGCTAACCACCCAGCTACTGGATGATAGGGCGATCCTTCCTTATTAAGTCAATTGTTATTATTACTATTCTCACTTTGAACTGTCCCCGGTATTATTTCACTTGTTCCACTTGTCATTTTAAATCAATTCTTTTTTACAACGATAAATTCTATGCTATTAAATTTCACACAATATTACGTAACGTTTTTGTTTTATTCGATTTGCCTACTAATCCTATAATTGCACATCCTTTTTCAAGTTCTACCCCTCCTATGAATTATTCTATATATGACATTAATCTGCTTTGCCACTTGACATTTAACTACGATTATAATCACAAACATTTTAGTTTTAATTGAACTTCATATGATTATTATTATTATTATTTTGTGCATTCACACCTAAGATTCAATTCCCTCACCGGATATAACTTCTGATAAACCATATATATACGACTGTACAGCTTGATGATAAATTCGTTGAAAAGAGTCTCTTCGCTGAATCACTTGTTTTGATTTTCTAAATGTTACAATGGGAATTTTCCATGATGATATGAAATCACAATGTAATAGTTACTCATCAACTTATTCACTTCTTGTTTTTATTGGGTAACTCCTTTGTCAATGTACTCAAGCTTTTATCTTTTTGTGTGAACTTCAAATTTCTGGTTATAGCCCATATAAGTGTAATTGCCGGGAACTGTTTATTAAGTTTGTAATCTCCTGGAAGCTGACATTATGTAGCATTTGCAAGTGTGTTAAAACTGTTAGTACGTCAAATGTAATAATCCATCTGGGCTGTACTCAGCTGATGAGAAGTCGATAAAGTAAATGATGATATCATTTGATTCTGCACAAACCGTTGTTTTTGCTTTATTCAAATTCATAAAGAGGAATAAGTGTATGGAATATTAGAGTTGATGTCACGAAAACTCACAGTAGATTTATTTCATATTTCTGTTTGAGTGTCGAAATGTTTTATTCTTTCAGGTTATCATGAAATCAGTCTTAAGTTGTCTTACAAATGCAATCAGTTTTGCCAAACCACTAACATTTTCACTGTTATCAATTACAGTATCTCCAACTGATTAAAGGTGTTTTCTTTTTGACATTTAGGGGAGTACAACATATTATGGAAATGATCAAAAAGTGTAAAAACAAATTTCATCAATCTTTGTTAAAATAATCAGAGGTTAGTCGTATTACGTGTCACTATTTAACAAAATATTTTCGGCTGTATAAAAATGTTTCACTTGAATAGATATTTGCTTATTCTCCTTTCATCCTAGTTTGAGAATCTTCATCAGAATACATCCATCGCCAAGGTTTGAACCCAGGACCCGCCAGTTACAAGACGGCTTCGTAGACCATTAAGCCACTGAGATCCGATCCAATGGTCAGCCCATGAATTTTAACTTCTGCCAATTCACGATATAGCGTCACCGCTAACCAATGTCTTCGGCGAGTACTTGTCCTCATACCCGACCTGTCGCACCTTACTGGTCACGACATCCTGCTAGAACCCCAAGTAACTACCTACCTGAATATGGCCAGTGGCCAGTGAGCATCTCATTGATATTCAACTGTTGGTTTTCCAGTGGTTCTCTAACCGATGTCAGCTCGGGGTGAAATCCTCTAACCAGTCAATCAAATCCTTACAAACCAATACTTGAATACTCTCCTTTCGTTCATTCTTCTCAATAAGAATGTTGCCTCTAAATTTGTTATTGTAGTGCAATAATCGTTTAGCTGTCAAATGCTACTACCTTTAACTTGACATGGAGTCAGAGTGAAAATATTTTAGTGATGTTACAAATAAAAGAAAGTTACTCTTTAGCTTTTCCTTGTGATATTATTATTATATATTACCAACAACACCCCCAAATGATCAAAATCTAAGTAAATGACAAAAATTACTCCGAAGCTTCATTATAAATTATGGATTGTACTATTTCTTTTTAATACAAAGCAGATGACCAAAATGAATGTGATGTCTCACAAAATAATATTCATTAAGTTATTTTTGTGATGTCACACTGGAATATTTTGTACTTTAACCACTGGCTATAAGTATATAAAAACCAACAGTATATGCACATAACATCCTTTTGATCATTTCTAGTTTTCATGATGGAAATGGTGATAACAATTTTCATTTAACTAATCACATCAGTTATATCAGCAATATATCAATGCCTAGAAGAAGAAAATATACTTCTGGGAATGAGTTAATTCCAACCAAGTATGGTATGCAGTCAACTTCAACAAAACTTATTTTGTACAACTGGATGCATCCAACGGTTAGTTGATACTTATAAGATTATCAGTATTGTCTGGGGAAAATGTTCCATGTCTTGTTATATTGTCGTATTGACTAAACAATCAGTTGTTATTTGAAAATAAGTGGAAAATGATTTCATTTGTTAGCTGAATAGCACCTAATGAAACAATAGTGTACTCAGTTGGATTTAGCTAAAGCAGACGAATTATTTCAAACCATAAGAATTCTGGTCGACTAATTAAGAACATTAGTAATAAAAAAAGCTCACTAAACAACTTAGATTATTATACATTACTCTGATGTGGTTGGGTGCCAGGTGACCTGAATGGTTTATAGTAACTCAAATCAATCTGTAGTGTATTTTTTAACTCACTTTCGTGATACTACTTAGGCCTTCAAAGGAATTAGTAGTAGTAGTAGAAACTCTTCTTAAAATCTGTACAATACAAAATACTGATTTCATCTAACGGTGAAGTCTGAAATCTCACCCTACCGTCTATAAGTGGAATTCTTACCTTTTCTTTTTCCTTCACGTTCCCAGTGGAACATAAAGCTTCAAGCTACAGGCTTGAAGTTTCTGTAGCAGTGTTTATTTTACAGGATGGGGTTGCTAGCCTCATGCCCAACCTTTCCTCTTTACCACCGGCTGGGGATCGAACCCTGGACCATGTGCATGGTCGGCGACAATCCTAACCGCTATGCCACCGACGCACTTCATGTCTATCAAACTCGTTGCCCCTAAGACTCATAATGTTTACGAGAATGTTGACTCAATAGTGACTAAATAATATTTTCTGAAAGAAGGACATCCTTAAGTTCACCACCGGTTAAAATCAATCGATTAAACACACACTAACTCAAAACCACCAATTCTCGAAAAATACCAATGCTTAATGGTGCTGTTTAACCGTCCTTAGATCTCTTGGAATAATTTTCAATCCTTTGTTATGTGAGGTTTAAATAGCACACGGAAACGTAAATTACAATTTTGTTTAAACCAGGGGAATGCAACACAATTGAACATAAGCTATTTTTGACTCCCAGGGAATATGAATGAAAGATATTTAGTTGCCTGTTTCACTTCTAACTTGTAAGTGGTAGCAGTATTCAACATTGTTTTATTCTGCTTTTAAATTAACTTAATTTTCAAATTAACAAGTTCTTAGGTAATTTGTTCTGCGAGCTGTATTTGTAACTGTCAGTAAAGAAAAGTCAAATGAATAGACTCATGTTGGGGTTCAGAAATGTGTTAGTCAAGTAATTAATGATGTAATTATTACCAAATACTCGTAGTTATCACAAATACTCGTATACCTTCACTGTTTTTTAGTTTAGTTCTGTTTGTAAGTGATTTGTTATTAATCTTTTTATACATCTGGACATTTAAAATGTTACTAAAAGCAACTTTATTCACTTTGGTTACTAGCATGGCTAATTAGAACTCATACATCGGTGAATGATAGTTATTTTTTTGCAGTTTTTTGCACAATGGGATGTGAAATACATCCACTAAAATGCTTTCTTGCTCATAGGCGCTGAGTAATGTTGCCAATAGCCTGGAAAAGAAATATCAACTGCTAAATGGTAAAAAGCAAGAAAACTATGTAATGGATTGTCTACCAACTTACTGGTGTAAAACGTTGTTACAACGGACATTGTTTTAAGAGACTATACTTTTTAGAGTTTTGTGATCACTATAGTAAATACAATAAAACTCTTTTTTCCTTTGATTTTCGTTTTCTAGAAAAATCGACTGAAGGATCCTGAGATGACTGCTAATGAATTACCAAAGTCAAAATTGCCTTGTCGAAAGTGAGGATCTCGTGAAATCTTATACTCAATAAAATGTTTTAGACCACTGACCAAAAATCATTCTACAAAAGTGGTACGCGATCCGAAACATTTTCACGGAGAAGTAAATGAACATCAACCAGGTATGGTATATTGACATGGAAGCATATATATTAATAGGTAGACAATGTGGAAACAAACCAAATATTCGTGCGTACAATCCTACGTTATCAAACAGTTATTAATTGATTATATTTTTAACCTACTAACTTATTTAGAAAATTGTTCTGTGAAGCATGGGAGACATTCTGGTTGCTTCGATACTGTAACTGATATCTCAAAAGTGGGAAAATGCCCAAAAGTGACCAGTAAGTAACTTTATTTCTTGTTTGAAATGTGTTTGTTTGTGTAAGGCAGCCCGAAAAAGAAGATACTAGCATTTATTTTTCTTTTCATTTACTTGTGATTAGTAAAATAGGACTAGGGCTTTATAAAAAAACGACTCAAATAGGTATTGCATCATAGATAACATTATGACTTAAAGCTGACTCTGTAAACTTGCAAAACTCAGGACTGTAAAACAGGGATAACTACGACCGCTTTGTTTTATCTTCCAATTTCCTAAAATGTAGAATATAGAAAATAATTCTATCAAACTTCAATAAGAATTAATAAACAATTGAATGAAAGCTTGTTTAATCATTCCAATATGTACATGAATTCCAAGAGCCCATCATTTAAGTGATAAGCTGATGGCTACTAGTGAAGATTTGTATATTTGTAAGCTGCTGTGAAGCTGAATTCAGACAAATAAAAGGATTAATACGTGAAGGTAAAACAAATCGACTTTACACTTATACACATTTCATTTTCTCATTTTAAATGCAAGCATTATTAGAATGTTGACTTCTTTAGTTCTGTAGTGTAATATTTGATGGTCTATATGTGTCAGTAATAGACGTTGAAACAGGTAATTCGGTAAAATGATTGATCGAAGTCATATTGAATTAACAGACTCATTCCGTAGAAATGACTCATATAGAGTGCTTAGAATGTACATGTTACTTTGAGCAATGCATGCCGTAAAAATGTCAATGTAATCTTAATGTCTATTCCATAATGCATATTTTAATAGGATATATTTAGGAAAGTAAGAAAACGGTTGATTGATTATTGCAACGAAGAACGCAGACATATCAGGTATCAGAATTTTTCATTAGCAAAAATTACTTACATCAACGATAAAGTATGACAGTTTCACATTAAAATTCCAATATGCATAAAGAATTCGTGTATTTCACAGTTTTCGATAAATAGGTACTAAAAATTCTCGTTTATCTTGCCTACATTGGAAAACTGTTCAATGTTATATTTCCGAAATGGCTGAATATTCCAAAAGGACAGACTTGGTAGATGACGCATGAATAAATTAGTCACTATCTGCAGTGAAAATTAGATTTTTATTGGTAATAATTCACTTGATTTCAGAATTGAGTTTTTTACGAAGTGACATCATTACCGAGACTTTGATTCGCAGTAAAGTCAACTTTGAGGACTTGAGAGGTGTAGAACGCAACCATCATATCTTAGGTTTTAAAGAGTATTAACATTCACTGAAATCACTTCAAAACAAAAAAACCCAATAACGTGTCCTTATAAAAATGCACATACTTTATTTTCATAATGACAAAATCACCCATTCTTCCACACAGTTGTTATCAGGGGTGGTATAAAAACTGAGAAACAGTATCTCTTTTTCAATGGGGAAATAAATATTCTCATGTTCAATATAAGGGTTTCATTCTATAGCACTGCTTCCATAAGTTAGTTCAAAATGCATCGAAACTTGCCATGTTGCTGAGTGCAATGTAATTTTCTATCTGCAATTTATGTAATTTCAGGTAGGTTTTCACTATGATTTTCATTTAAAAGCTGAAATATCCAGGCTAAAATATCTGACTTCCATTATACCATAAGCAGAATTGTAAAAAACAAGTGAAATCGCCAAGCATATAAATATGTTTGTGGTGTTAGCACCTGTGTTTCAATCACTTTCATCCACATATTAAGTATAACTAATTAAAGTTAAATGTTTCGATTCACTGAAACCAATCAGTAGAATATAAGACATTATTAAACATCATTTGGAATTTATCTAAATGCTGATTATAAGTGTCATCATTTATGTTGTAGACAACCTCTTGTTATACAGCGATTAAAATAAATTAACTAAGTAAAACTAACTTTCCAATTGTGTGACACAATGTATAGAAAATATTCCGTGTTATCAGGCTTGAAACTTAAGATTATAGGGAATTGAAGAGATTTGGATTAGTCTGATTTCAGTTTATTAGATATTGTCACTATCTAGCAGCATTTAGAGAGTTCACTGGAAACCAGGAAGCAGTGGATAGCCGTTCTATCCCATTTGCGGACTGTTCAGTAGTGCGGACCGACAACCGCACCAGGAATTGAACTCGGTACTTCAGCTTACGAGGTTGTGGGTATGCACAGTGAAGAGTCCAAAAATGGGACTAAATGGCTGTTCGTGAAAATCTGGTTTTCAGTGATCCTTCTAAGTACTACTGTTTTGTGAGGAAATCTGGCAAACTGGAAACAAATTAATTCAAATCCACAGAACTCACATAGTCTAAGCACCAGTCTCCAAGTCACTGGTGACTACCGCATGGATATCTTCAGTCTGTATTGAGAGATTGTGTCCATTGTGACCACGTGGATGACTCATCAACGAGTCCACTCTCGTAACATGAAAATCCAGGGTTGAACCTCTATTGGGTTCGTATGTGTGCGTCTCCGAAGTGTCTCAAAATAGGGCGAGACAGCTGTGTAATGCTTCCTGGCTTTCAATACTTCCCCTATTGATGTTAGCTCATGAAGAAATCTAACAGTCTGAAATTGAAATCTCTAAACTGAACAACAAGAAGGTAACCAAAAGTGTGATTTTTACAAAGAATGAAGAATACAAGCCCATCTATACTAGCACAGAACATATGAACGAGAATAATTACTTACACTATCTACGTATACGGCTGGAAGAAGTATACTTGTTTCATGTTAACTAGTTGTATTTGTATATTTCGTAAACGAAATGTACTTGTAAACAGAAACTGTTAGTACATTGTTTGTTTATTAATTGGTTAATTTCTATTCTCAGATAATATGAAAAAAAGTTGCTTCTATGAACGATATAACAGTCATCGACAAGAGTAAGTACAAAACCGATTTGTTTATTCTGCATTCAGTTTACTTTACTCCTGCGAAACTTGTGTGGTACAGCAGCATATTTGTGGTTTGCTCTGTGCAAATATCAAACACCAAAAGATACCGACTGAAGCTTCATACATGACACTAACTAGCAGCGCATTGGTTTAAAATTAATCGCTGTCACATTCAAAGAGTGATGAACACTGAGAATTCCACTTAAATTTAACCTCTTGAAAAAGCAATAAGATCTGCATTGGTTCAGACATATTTCAGCATATCTGTTTGTACCGCTTAAATTGCATTAGAAAGAAAAGAACATGAAGTTCAGAAAAGATATCTTTTCGGCGATTTCAAAAGCTGTACAATCGCATTTAAATACATAATTTTACATCGAGACAATTCTTGTTTGATTCCACATAATTACGACGGCGAATAAAAGATGATAATTATTTTCAACTAGATATGGTTTACGAGAAGCTTAGAAACAAAATTACACAGGATTAGAACGGATAACAAGTGTGTAAAAATGAGCATGGAAACAAAGTTGAAATAATAATTTTCAACTTGAGATGGGAGTTAGGAGGTGCGAATGTAGATTACAAGAGCCTTAGAAAAAAATTACACGGTTGTCCAAAATGTTGGAGCCGATAGGAAAACACCTATGCAAATATCCCCTTCGCGATACTTTTGAGTTCATTGAATGTATAAAATATTTGAATGTAAATGATAAAGAAATGTTATCACTAGATGTCGAGTCTCTTCTTACCAACGTGCCACTAACAGAAAAAGTGCAGTTATATGGAAAAATCCAATATAAGCGTCGAAGTATCAATATGATGTCTGAAGGAATTGTTGCTGAGATGCACGCTGAATGTACAATCCACCTCCAACGGCGACATCTACCGACAGAAAGACGGAACTGCAATGGGATCTCCTCTTGGTCGGCTTGTAGCAGACTGCTTTATGGCCAGTTTGGAGAGTGGAGTTTTAAAACCAACAATAAACAAATTACTACTGTACAAAAGGTACGCTGACGATGCCTTTATAGTCTGTTACGATAACCCGGACCTCAACTGCATCTTACAAGAATTTAATAATTCCCATTCTTCGATTAAATTCACAATGGAATTAAAAAACGATTCAAAGATTCCATATCTGGACGTGGAACTGACAAGAAGAGATGATGGAACGCTGAAGAGGTCCATCCACAGAAAACTGACATGGAACGGCCAACTAACGCATTGCTATAGTTGGATAGCTTTGAGCCGAAAACGAGCTCTCCTCACTGCACTAGTTCATCGCTTTGGAAAAATTTGTAGCAGCGATTACATGGAAGAGGAGCTCTTATTCCTCAAAAATATCCTGGCTCAAAATGACTACCAGACAAGTTTTGTCGAAAAGAAGATGAAACCTAAACCAAAAAGAGAAGAATGCGATTCAACACCAAAAAATACGCTGTATTTGAATCTGAGTTTCAGGGGAGATTTGGCAGCCAGTATCCTGAAGAGGAGAATATCCAGCTCTTTAAAGAAGACCTTCTCTAGCCGTCCAATACTTCGAAATAACGCAAAGGACAAACTCTCGCATATGACTAATTCAATGTGCGTATAACAGTTCACCTGTTTGTGCGGAGCTAGGTACATAGGTCGCTGTACGTGCGTCCTTTCAAAACGTGTTAGAGAACATTACCCAGCGCGGCTGCAAAGAGGAGACACCGGTTCAATCAGAAGTACCATTATTCAACATCTTATCAACACCTCCCGATACATCTCAAGTGATTCTTTCAAAGTAATTTACAAAGTCAACAGAAACCTACCAAAAGCAGTATGTTTCCGACTTCTCTGTACTGCAGAAGCCCTCGCAATATGCATCGAGAAGCCGGAGCTGTGTGTTAAAAAAAAATTAGTTCAACCTCTACAACTACCATGGACCTAGTTTGGTATGTTCCCTTAGCTTGCGTCTTTTTCTTTCGTTCTCTTTTTTCTCTTTATGTGTGATTCTTACTCCCTCTGTCTTCAGTCTATTTTACCCCATTTCTTCAGTTATAAAAACAGTTATTTTAAGCTTGTTTCCATGCTTTTTCTGTACACATTTATAATTCGTTTAAAATAACTATTTTACAGTTATATCCTAATCCTGTGCAATTTTAGTGTTTCTAAGGTTCTTGTAATCTACATTCGCACCTCCTAACTCCCATCTCAAGTTGAAAATTATTATTTCAACTTTGTTTCCATGCTCATTTTTACACACTTGTTATCCGTTCTAATCCTGTGTAATTTTGTTTCTAAGCTTCTCGTAAACCATATCTAGTTGAAAATAATTATCATCTTTTATTCGCCGTCGTAATTATGTGGAATCAAACAAGAATTGTCTCGATGTAAAATTATGTATTTAAATGCGATTGTACAGCTTTTGAAATCGCCGAAAAGATATCTTTGCCGAACTTCATGTTCTCTTCTTTCTGATATCCGATTTGGGTGTTTTGCACTATCTGAATTGCATTACAAGAAGGAAACATTCGGCTACATTCCTATAGTTCAGTACAAGATTTATTGTTTATGTTGTTATTTATACATCTTTTTACAAATGAACTTTTTTCATCTCATAAACCCTTATTTTCTTCCCTTCACGTTCCCTAGTGGAACGTATGGCCTCAAGCTAGTGGCTTGAAGTTTCTGTAGCAGTGTTTATTTTACAGGATGGGGTTGCTAGCCTCACGCCCAGCCTTACCTCTTTACCATCATTATTCCTGGCTCAGCGAGGTAAGAGAGGAGTGAGTCGGCCGGAGATCAAACCCTGGACCATGTGCATGGTCAGCGAGCGTCCTAACCGCTATTCCACCGACGCACTTCATAAAACCTACTGCACATATATTTACTGTATTTTGAATATAATCTTCCTACTCACAAAATGCTTCCTTATCTACTTTTTTACAGGTGAGGTAACAGTTTCCTTTTTATAGAATTCAGGTTTTGGGAATGTCATCCAATATGTTTCCATCATTGAATAATTTTTTTTTGATAAAATACAGTGGTAAAGCATTATTTACTGATGTGAGTGCCTTGATATGATTATGAGTGATGAATAGTGCTCGAAATGTCATCAAGAAATAATACTGTATCAATACACTTCTGTCAGGCAAAATTATACTATTATGGCATAGTTTCATTTTGCTTCCAGGAGCCATATGTAAACATAGATATCACTGAACGATATGTTCCATTGCCGAAAGACTTCGAAATGATAAAAACTTATTTAAGTGAAACTACAAGTCACTCCCTGTTTTACAGCAAACCTTTTGCACTACTTTGGGTATCATTTAACCTGAGATCTTGCTTTTCTTATAATATTTTCATGACTAACAGAAATCAGGCCTAGAGCCTCTCTGAACCCACTGCATGAGTTATGTAAGACAGGATGTCACTGTTTGTAGTTTTTGAATCACTAAATTTACACAAAATTGTACTCATAACTAATAAACACGTTTTGTAATAAATTTCAGATGTCAATTAAAAAGGTTAAAAAACATATGGAAACAACAATTTGATGTATATATCTTGCCTGTATTGAAGAAGGACCAAAATAAGTCAGCTAAAACTAAACTTGAGTTTGTAGATCAACAAATGAATGAGTTCGATCATGACAAAGAAGTTTGTGTAGATAATACATCTTACAACTTTAATACACCGCTGAAATATTCACCTTCCTCTAGATGCGAACAAAGAGATGATCTCCTGAAAAATGCAAAGGATAAATACTCACATAGTGTTTCCGAAGAATCTTTTGGTTCAACAATATACTTTTACTGTTCAACATGCAGTTATATTGTAGGCTATCGTGACCGTGAACAGCTAAAACAGTTGAACTTAGAGTATGAATCTGCCTCATCAGCATATTATCTCAGTTGTGGAGATGATGACATTGGTAAGTGATAAATAAAATTCATAATAAAATTAATGTAATTTCTTCTCTTGGTAATTTTTCATATGAGCATAAACTAAGTCATGTTTTATTCAATTGAATTTTTTGATTTTCCCGTCGATTGATTGGACCGAAGTGCTCGGTCTCAGGTTGACATGTCGGCTTCTTGTGCAGATGCTTCGACGATGTCTGTGCAACGGGTGCACAAGAGGTGGCTCTCGTGGCCCAAGTGGTCTAGTGGATAACGCTTTGGCGTTTGAAACTATGGGCACTGGGTTCGAGCCTCGGTGGGAACATCATCACTCACTGAGAAATGCAGGTACATCCAGCTGACGAGTCCCAAATAGGACGAAATGCGCATCCTGGATTCCACTGCTAGCCACCATCCACCAATTGTATAAGTCATGTTTCACTACCGAATTGTTTTATATCCTATTTACATTGAAACACTTTGGGTAAATTAGCTTGTATTTCAGTGTCTATCACTGGAAATAAATAATCTGAGTTTCTGTTGACTGTTTTATGCATTAAAAAAGGTTCACTGGGATAAAGAAAAAAATTTATTACTACTCATTGCAGTTAATTTATCTTCAGATGTATTTCTAATTCTAGGACACTTTTGAAGCTTTCTTTCTTCGGCTACTTATTAAAAAATAGCCTACGGTGGACCATAAAAATAATTCATCCACCGATTTCATATATATTACTGTCACTATTGTTATGCGGAACTTCATCTAGTCTACTAGCTTGCTTGTCTCCTAGCCGGTCCCAAGCCTGGGTAAAGAGGTAGGGCTGGCTGTGGGGCTAGCGATCCTACCACACAAAGTCAATCAAACTGCTACAGAAACTCCAAAACATAAGAAAAATATGAAAAATAAACCCATTCTTCATTGAAATTGAAGATGCAAAATGACTCACTCTGGCGAAAGACTTCGCGAAGCCAGTCAGCCAATATGTATCCTCTCGATGAAACCGAAAATAAGTATCGGGATCCCAAATGTTCATACAGTATACGAAGATGAGAAAGGTACCCAGGTAGCCAAAAGAATAAGAAAATATGGCATGGAAGTGCTCGGAATCTGTGAGAGCAGGTAGAATAGATGAGCACTATCCAAATTGTCAAGTGAAGAGCCTGTAATCTACTTTGGCCACTCAAACGATAGCCACAAACACACTGAGACAGTGGCTACCATGATGTCACTAACAGCATACAAAGCCCTTATGAAGATGGGGCCAGTTTCCCTCTGGATAATAATAGCAATATTCAAGTCGGAAGGAAAGAAAGTTGTAATTATGGGAGGCTATACTTCTACTAAAACCCCAGAACAAGAGAAGAAGGAAGAATCCTACAGATAACTCCATGTAGTAGTGGAAAGCATCTAAAATGCTGACACCAAAATTCTTATAGTTGATGTGAATTGCAAAGTGAAAACAGACGTCACAGGAATAGATGTGATCATAGGTCGACAGCCACGCAATAAAGTGAGTGATATTGGAGAATTCTGTGCAGATTTTACTTAATTTGGTGATCGGGATAGGCGTTTTTAAGCACAAGGATATAAATAAGGTGACATGGATTTCACCTGAAGAACACACCAAAAGTCAGATAAACGTCATCGCGGTTTGAAGAAAGTGAAGACGTAGTCTGATACACATGAGGTTGAGAGGGGGCAGCTCTTTTTGTGGGGTAAGATCTATATCTAGTGCGATGAACTTTCAAGGTCTAGTTGAAAGCCTTCAGAACAACTGGAGACAGACCACAGTTCAATTTCAACGACTAGAAAGAAAGGGACGAAATTATAATAGATACCTAGGCTGCAGTCATTATAGCGAAGTTGGAGACACTATGTGGGATCACTGAGGAAACCTCTGTGGAAGAACATTGGAACTCTGTGAAGAGGACATTCAAGGAAACGCGTACAACAATTCTGGGAAGAGAGAGGAGTCAAGACAGAGAATGTCACTCAAGGAACACTTGGAAGATGGTAGAAGAGAAGAGGATGGTGAAACAGAAGATGACTCAATGCAAAGATGGAAAACTGAATAAAAATTCGAGTCCAGTTAACCTCTCACTGAATAATGAAGTAAAGAAGAATGCTAAGAAAGACAAAGGACAATTCTACAACACACCGACAACTGAAGCAGACCAGACTGCAGGTAAGAGGGACCGCAGAATACTAAATTAGTTTACCAGATCTCCATTCAGAAATAGATCAACGCAGGTGAAACTAATAAAAGATGGTCAAGAGGACCTAATTAACACAGAGAGTTAACAAATAAAACGATAGGCTGATCACTTCAGACGAACCTTGATTCGATTATCACCCACAACTCGCCCAGAAACACTACCAGCAACACGCACAGAATAGCTATTGGACACCAACCATCCGACATTAGCAGAAATCTTCAGCGAGATCAAGCTACTGAAGTCGCATCGAGAAGACAGCAGGACCAGATGGAATTCCCCCTGAATCACTCAAAAATGATCCAGGGACCACATCGGCTAAGTTTACACCACTATCGCAAAACATTTGGAAGGAAGGAAAGGTATCTGCTTATCAGAAAATAGACTACCATGTCAAACCACTAAAAGGTGGCTTGAGCCTGTGAAGAACTGAGAAAGAATAATGCCCTTGTCCACACCGAGCAGAATACTAAGTCGTGTCATCATGGAGAGAATAAAAGATGCAATGAAAATAGAACTCCACCAATGGGAACAAAATGCATTCAGGAAAACCAAATCATGTATTGATAAAATTGCAACTCCACGCATCGTCATCGAACAAAGCATAGAATGGCAGTCAAATCCATCTTTACCCCAAATTCAAAGACTTCAAAAAGGCCTTCGACAACCTCATTTAGCATCCAAATGACTATGCCGCGTGTCGGACGATCCACACTGAACAACTCAGTGAAGCCTCTGAAGTGAACACAAGAGTAAGACAAGGCTGCCTGACTATTATCACCGATGATTTCTATGATTGCGATGGACTGAATAATGCGGAAAACTGAGCAAGGGAGAGAAGACTGGAATACGCCACACTGACTGATACGAAGACCCCAGAAATTGTGGACTTCGCGTGTGGATGACTCGAAGAACTGAAGGCGACAACCAAAAAACTGAAAAAACAGATCAAAGGCAAAGACAAGACTCCACGTGAACATAGATAAGACGGAGATGGAGGTGACGAAAATAACCAATCAAACAACCAACATCAATCACCTTCAGTGGAATAGCTTTGAAAGAGGTCACTTCCTTCACTCACACAGGCAACATCGTTTCAGCTGCAGACGATAGCACAGATGAAGATGTCTGAGCCAATCAGCATGGATCGGAAAGACGAGATGCTCCTCAATCAATATGAAATCAATTTGGAAATCCTCTACTTCCCTCAGCCAGCATCAAAAACAAGATTCGGATTTTCAAAACCGGTGTTACTCAAGTCAGTCAGTCACATCTTCTGTATGGGTCAGAAACTTGCACAGTGAGTGCATCACGAAGAGCTTTTCCAACAGAGTGCTGCAGATTTTCATCAACAGCTGCCTTCTCTGGCTGGCTTCATACTGAAGATCAAATGGCCAGCTGGCAAGGGCGAATTAGCAGCCAGAAACTGTGGCTGGAAACAAACCAACAGGCGAGAGCCGATCGCTCAACAGAAATGTGGGATGAAGTGGACATAGACTGGACTTACTCCAAGAAGACCGTTGAAGGATACTGTGCGCAATGCAGGGCGTCACTCAGGTGGAATGTGAACGGTAAGCAACGAGTGTGCCGTTGGTACTAGGGTGACATGAAGGAGATGGTGTGGTTAGGAGGAGGAGATAAGAGATTATGGGTAATCATGGAGCCAGCTGAACAGGGGAGCAAAAACTAGAACAACGTTGAGATGTGTTGTTGAAGTTATATTTTCCCCTCGGAACACAAGAGAATTGTATTAAACATTAATCGCTGATATAAGGATAAAACTTGTGCACTGTGGTAGAGTAGAATACCTTTAGGGATAAAATTTATTTTGATAAGGTGACACAGTGTTATCCAGTAGTATTTACTGACGACGTTTCAAGCACAATTTATTGCTCATAATCATATGAAGATACTCGCACAACTTTACTCATGTACAGAAACGAATCAAGAAAGTTATGTGATCGCCTTGATATGATTATGAGCAATAAAGTGTACTCGAATCGTTATCAATAAGAATTACTGTATAACAGTGTAAGACTTTATCAAAACAAATTTTACCCATAATGAAATAATAATCATCCTTCAAACCTAGAAAATGGAATGCACAGTAGCACTTCTGTGCTCATATTTATATTTGTAATCTTTAAATGTCTTGTTGATAAAATTTATTCAGGTGACACAGTTTGCTTCACTAATTAACCAGCATGCTGAATGAAAAAAACAACTCAGAAATGCTACTGTCTTATGACCTTCACTTTGTTTTAATAAATGCAAACTATTCTCAGAATTATTTTCTAATAAAATATACCGCAAACAAATAAACTGACCTTAAGAAGAAGACGACTGAAACCATCCAACCTCCTAACCAGAAAGATTTCTGGCCAAAAAATTTACAAAATGCTAATGTGACTGAGTTTCTTGTGAATCGCCCGATTGAATATTCCACCAGAATAATCGGTATAGACCAGAGGAATAAAATGAGCAACCAGACAATATAAAACGTCAAAGCTCCTAAAGTTTACATGGAAGTAAGACAAGAAACGCAAAATTCGAAAGAAGTTACAATAATTTTAATAAATTTGCAATTATTTCTCACTAGACTGAAATTACAATTACATTTTTAGTGAACTGTGACAGAAGTAACATTTTCTGACATGTTCTGTGCATTGTTTAGAAAAATAGATAAACTACGATTGTCCTATGCTGCTTAACACACTGCATAAATTTACTTATCAGTCTGATTTCATATTTCACTCTTTGGTACAATAAATTTAAATGGGACGTGTTCATTAAATGAATATTCATCCAATGTTCTCCTTAGTCTGGGAGAGAATTTTTTGTGAGAACTGGAAAGCGCGATAGTTCTTCCTTCTTTTTGAAATTAATGTACACAATTAGGATGTTGTGATTAGATGTTTTACACTTCAGGAGGCTAAGGGTATAATAGATACGAAACGAATACTTGGCTTACAATATAATGATCAGTTTTATGAACTCTAAACTCATCCTCAGACACTTGAACGACTAAAGTATCTTGTGATAAGTGTCAATCTCAAAACGTTACACGTACACAGCTATACGCTTGTCTAAATCTTCATTAAATTCAAACTGAAGACAGGAGTAATTCAACACTGTATAAAATAAGACACATAGCAGGACGGAGTTGGCTGCATTTGTATAACTAAGTTGAATTCACTGACAGATATATTTCTGTATTTGTCCAGCCGGTTATGATTTCGAATCTCTAATCCTTTGATGAAGAATACTCTGCATAATTTATACTTTGATGTAGTAGACAGGGATTTGAATAACTTCATAGCGGCTGCCAAATTATATTTCTAACAAACTAGTTAATACTTTCGAGTTTGTGTAAGTTCGTAAAACGCACTAACCCAATGCATTCTTGAAAGTTTCAAGAAGGACCATAGAAACATTATGATAACTGTGGTTGTGTTAAAAAATGCGTTAACCATACGTGAGGTAGTCCTAAAATAACTTGATAAGGAAAACGAAAAATCTGACAAAAGGACTTTATCAACTCTTTCTTCTCTATATTCACATAAACATACCTGACCGACAACAAACATCAGTTATCATAAACAGGATGGATCTAACAGAAGGTGTCTGTTCCACTTACTCAGGTAGCATCGTCTCAAACACGATATGTAAAGGGATACGGGCATTCATATCTATTATTGCACTTAATATAGGCAACAGGATTCAAATTTTCAAAACTATTGTGAAGCCATTGCTTTTATATTGTTCAGAGTCTTGATGGGCCACAGGAAACATTTCAAATTAGCTCCTGCACATTTTCATCCAAAAATCCTTCGTGTGGCTCGACGATGGAGATTAGATAGATAGACGAAGTATGAACCAATCAACAAGCTGTCGCTCAACCAAAATGCAGAAGTGAATGTAGATGGAATGGACATAAGCTGAGAAAACCATCGAGTAACATTACACCCTAAATCCTCAGGTGGTAGCCCAATAGAAAGCAATAAGTTGGACATCCGACTGTGACACAGAGAAGGTCACGTGAGGAGAGGATTGCAAGCTTCCGAGGAATTGTGGAGCCGACTAAAAGTGGTGCCAAACAGCTGGGCTCGAAAGAGATGTGCTTTTGAAGCCTTTCGCTTTACCTTGGCTCCAAAATATGAATATTAATGATAACTTGATATAAACTGGTACAATATATTTAATCATACAAAGCCAATATATTATCCATAAACATATTTTGTGTTTTGAACCTTTGAAACTGGAGTTCAGCTGAAGTGGTTTATTTGACATAAGAGTAAAAATTAGGCACTTGGATAAGTCATAATTCCATCACAGTATATATAATCTTATTCGATTAAACACACATTGACATAACGTTATCATCAGTGAATGATACTTTTTAGCTATGTGCTTTATCAAATAAAATTATTGATGAGGATTTATTTAGCTAAATCATTCGGTCACAAAGATTTTTACAACCTCGTGTTGACCATGTAATGGTTTATCGTTATTACTATTATGTTTTTGCAATTTATGCTTTATTCTCATCTTATAGCCAAAGAATTAAAAAAAAGCTCATTTTTTAGTACATAATTTTTGACTTTATAGGAGTTGAATTCGATAACCAAGAAGATGATTTCTTCAATATTGACTATTTGAATCCAGCATATGAATGGGTGAAATCTAATCGTCCTTGTTCTGCGCCTCCAAAAATCCATTGTTAATTCCATGTTGATGTTTAATGTATGAAGAACTTACTGTGGGGGAAGCAGCATTTGCGTAATTCTATGAATTCACTTGTAACACACTTTGTTTGTTCAGGCATGGCTTTCCATTACTTCATGTTGATCATAAAATAATTACAATCAATCGAGTAACTTTAAAAACGAGATTTGTTGTGGGTTATGCGTCGATTAATTTGAACTCACAGTTATTGGAAATTTAGAAATATTGCATGTCAGCTACACGAAATAGAAGTCTTTCCCTTCTTGTAAATAATTTGCTTTTGTCAAAACTAACTGACAGGAACTCAGTGATTTTATTTTCATATCTTATTTCCGAATCCCAGTCTTGAGTGCCTAATTACTGTATATAATTTTCATTTAATTCACTTAATTTCACTCTCATTTAATTTCACACCAATTAGTAGTGACAGCTGCCAAGTAATTCGATTGCAGGATGAATACCAAATCATCAGCTTCAAACAAATTACTACAAACCTCCGATAATACCATGAGTGTTACGTTTACTATCGTACTTTTTATGTGTTCAGATAATTATCAAAGTAAAATCCTGTGCTTGCAAATAATTCATTTGCCTATAGATTTTGGCTTGCGTCGATGGCATAGTGGCAGAATGCTCGACAACTCCTTGAACTCACTAAGCCGGGAATTACACTGGTAAAGAAGGAAGGCTAGCAACCCCATCCCGTAAAAATAAATACCACTACTACCGAAACTTCAAAGCTCTAGCTTGAAGCCCTATGTTCCACTGGAAATGTAAACAAATTAAAAAACAGATTATGATAGATGAATTGATGGGGTCATTGGGTAAGAGTGAATTATCCTTGTTTAAGCCATTTCGGAAAAAAATTAATTGATATTCCAACTTATCCGACAACAGGTCACAATTAAAGCAATATTCTCATCAGCCTTCATTCCATATTTGATCATGCTTCCAAAATTAAGAACAAATGCATCTCTTAAGAAGACTTTTCAGAGTCCAATTAGAAAATGGAATGTTGACTTCATGGATTATAACAAATAAGTCATGTTCATCAATGCAAATTATTTCAAGGTCTAAAGATCATGAAATATTAGAGGGTGACAGGTTTAACTGAACGTCTAACGGAGTTTTAACTTTTAGATCACTGATTCAAATATAATTTTTTTTCATTTACACAGACTACAGCAAAAACACAAGATAAAGTCATCTTAATTTAAATGAATTTGAGATTTTCCCGTCGATTGATTGGACCGAAGTGCTCGGTTTCAGGTTGACATATCGGCTTCTTGTACAGATGCTTCGATGACGTCTGGGCATTTAATTACGATTTAATTGGTAGATGGTGACTAGCAGTGGAATTCAGGATGCGCATTTCGTCCTATTTGTGACTCGTCAACTGTATGTACCTGCGTTTCTGAGTGAGCCATAGCACAAGAAGTGGACGTCGTGGCCCAAGTGGATGACGCTTTGGCTTTTGAAACCATGGGCATTGGGTTCGAGCCTCTGTGGGAACATCATCTTAATTCATTATCTACATTGAGTTACAATATCAAGTTGATAATTTCCCAACTTATTTGGTCATGAAAAGAGGTTGCGAAATATTTTTATTTTATTTTTGATTACAGCTTGATTCCACACTATATTTTTGGTACAAGTATGGAATTTTCAGCATGTGATATCGGTAGCCAAAATTTTGCAGGGCGACCATAGATATCAGGTGTGCGTAGGCAGGGATTTGAACCTCGGACCATGTGCATGGTCGGCGAGAGTCCTAACCACTGTGCCACCGACGCACAATAGTGTCTGTTCGAACTTAAACTAAATTTAAATGGAGTGCCACATACACCCTACAAGAAATAATCACAACTGCTTATGTCTACTCTGTCTATACATTGATTTTCAATAAACTTCAAATTACAAGAATTAACCACTCGTAAAGATGTTTAAATTATATCATAGAATTCTGTGAAACTAATAATTCATTAATAAAAAACATACCTAAACATTAATATGGTAATTTTTCAAGCGATATTTCTATTCAAGCATTATTAAGAGGAATTAACTCAGTGAATTGTCAATTACCGCCATTTAAATTAATCTTGTGGTATTTACGAAATGATGGTCACCCTGAGAAGGGTACAAGGAAATGATATGATGTGGTCTCGGCATTAATTTAAACGAAGGATTTAATCATCACTTGACATCGATTAGACAACCATTGGAACCAGTGACGTCAGCTCATGATTAATCCAGAAACCAATCAAATCCCTGCAAACCAAGGTTTCAATGGTTGCAGGATTTTATTCTCAGTCATAATCTGGGATATCCGTAGTAATACTAATAAGACTGTTCGAAAAATATAGTCAATCTAGAGTTTCTCATAATAAACTATAAAAATCGGCCAACTTCGCCTGTCAGGAGACACGTTATGCAGGTACTGTGCTAAGGTTTGGTGATAAACAGAGGTTGGCCATTTCAGCCTAGTAATACTATGCAACTGGAAATTTTACGTTTCAACAATTCTAATCCACGAGATTTTATTAATTAATTAATCAGAAATGAAGTGTAAGATCACAAAACATCTGAGTATTTCTAAAATCAAAATATTTTCTATCAGAAATTACGTTAATTAAAAAAGACAAAGTTTTCCATGAAAATATATACTACTCATAACTGTACATTAAATTCATTCACTTCGAAAGAGCTTTCGACAGCGTTTACCACAAAGTAATTTGCAAATTACTTCAACACTACGCCACACAGTGCTGAAATCCTTACCTACCTCATTCAACAGTTATAGGACTACACCGTGTGTCAGGAGATCCACATCGGAAAACTCAGTGAGGCGTTCGAAGTGAATACAGGAGTAAGACAAGGCTGCCTAATTATTACCCCCCTTTATATTCCTGATTGTGTTGAACTGGATTATGCAGAAGACTGCGTCTCGGAGTGAGAAGACAGGATTATGTTGGACCGAAGAGACAAGTGAAGAAGATGTGGATTTCGCGTGTAGATTACTTATGTTTAATGTCACACAAACTCAAACAGTTGCAGGCGACAAGTGACAAACTGGCAGAACAGCTCGAATGCGAAGACAGGATTCCACGCGAACACAGGGAAGGCGGAGATAGAGGCAACGAAGATGACCAACAAAATAACCAAACAACAGCAACAACAACCAGCATCAGTCACCTTCATTGGAATAGCTTTGAAAGAAGTCACTTCCTCCACTCATACAAGCAACTTCGATTCAGACGCAGACGATACCACGGGGTGAGATATCTGAGCGAACCAGCATGGATCGAGAAGAAGAGATACGCCTCCATCAATCTGAAATCGCTCTGGAAATCTTCTGGATCACTCAGTCAGCATGAAGAACGAGATTCGGATTTTTTCAACACCAATGTTATTCAAGTCAGTCAGTCAGTTAGTCATATCTTCTATATGGATTAAAAACTTGCACACTGAGTGCGTCACGAAAAGCATTTCCAACAGACAGCTGCAGATTTTCGTCAACAGCTGCCTTCTCTGGCTGGATCCATATTGAAGATCAAATGGCCAGCTGGTCAGAGCGAGTTAGTAACCAGAAACTGTGGCTGGGGTCAAACCAACAGACGAGAGCTGACTGCTCAACAGAAATGTAAGAGAAAGTGGAGATGGATTGGGCATACGATGAAGAGACGGTAGAATGATAGCGCACGCTATGCTATCACTCTGGTGGAACTTGAGTGGAAAGTGATGAGTGTGTCGTTGGTGAGAGTGTGACATGGAGGATATCGTGATCCTGACATGATTTACCTTTTCTTTTTCCGGCTTTCGTGTTTGGCGTCTTTTCGCATCCTGTTATGTACTCGTCGAGTAGTTAATAGTCCTGACGCGGAAAGAGGGAAATCAGAAGTCCACCAGGTTTATGATGATACTTGTATTTTCAAGACAAGGAAAATAATTGTCACACAAGAGTGTGAGTGAAATGGTACGATTGTACGAAATATGTGTGAACAAAAATGTATATGTGAACAGTGCAAAAGTATATATGAAAATGACTAATACACATGAACCAATAAATAGCCAGTCTTAACATGATTGGTTGTAATGTCATGTGACAACAGGACTATACATGTTTATTTAGCTAGTGGACAGACAAAAGCATATTGTCAGTTATAATGAAATATCGATCCATATACACATAGCAAAATATAACAAACTGTCAAAACAAAACACACATCATGTGGATACATATCACGTCCAATGCATCTTTTGTTCTCTCCAGGGTTTGGTGACTTGGTGTCTACGAGATAATGATTCTACACCAGTTCTTGCAGAGGCGTAAGTCGCCCTCCTTTGGTAGCTTGATAAGGTAGCCCTTCTACCAATCATTTTGCACCTTTCCTTGTGGCAGCCATTTCAAATTCTTCGAAATCATTATACTGATTGGGAATATCAGTTTTACAAAATACATGTACATTTATCCTGCTTAAATAATCAATCCATTCTATGTAATCATGAATACACATATATGTCCTATAAGTTTATGAAAAACAGTTCAAGTAATAGTAAAAGTGTGTAATATATTTCAAAACTTTAGAACTTTATCGATTGTAAAACTGTGCAATTCAGCCAACACTTAATGTCTCACCTTGTTTTTGCATACATGTGACTTAGTTCCAAATAGACAAAAGCATTTCAGAATGCCTGTTAACTATATCATATATTATAACATTAGTCTACTTATGTGTACCACTTTTCTCAGAGCTTTGTGGGGTTTCTTGTCCACGTGCTAATAGAAGCCAGGTAAATTTCTACACAGATTGTATTAAAATTCTAAAACAGTATATCACAGCCTGCTAAAAAGTATATTCTAAGATCGCTGATATTCTTAAAGTTTCACTCTCTCACACACTCCAGACGTATAACATCCTGTTCACAGAAAAGCGTGAAAGCTCATACTTCATTGATCGTTCCTGAGAAACTCCACATTTACGTATTTTAAGCTATGCGC